ATAGTTGAGCAATTGATTATATATCCAGCAATGTTGTTTAAATCTAGCTGGATTTTGCAGTTTGTAGGCATGCTTCAGATAATAAGATTATCCAACTGATGTTGTATCTCTCTGTTCTGTGTTACAGAACAAAGGGAAACACATGTGTTTGCCAATACAATGCAGAACAGCATTATGGTTATCTGCAGATGGAAAATGCTACACCAGAGTCTCTGGAGCTAGTTAAAGGGGTTCAATTTCATCGCGGCGTCTTTCATCTATGGCGATCAAAAGCTGTGCTCTAAATTGAATTACCCCAAACTGCCATAATACGTGGCAACCTATAGAAACCAATCTGTATGATGTTTTAATGGCTTGTGTGTGACACCCTGCAGATTTCTTTTCCCCAGTTCTTGGAGGGAAGATTGAAAAAAATCAATAATACACAAAGGAGGAACATTGATTTTTACTGGAAATGACCTCTTCCCTCTCCAAGGTATCATAGGCTGTGTTTAAAGGAGCGTTGGATATTTGATATGCTTAAAGCTTCAGGCAAATGCTACATTTAATAAAGCTTTTAGATCAATGTGGGTTCTATGGAAATGGGAAGGTGAATTAAATTAGTCGGTGGCATAAACCTTTCTTTCATATTTATATTCAGACTAAGATTTTATAAATTGCATATACATATTTAGTGGTTTAACTTAATAAGGGGATGGGGCACACACCTCTCCCAAACTGAAGTAGAGAAATGGTGTCCCATCTACTAAACATCTACTAAAACTACTTCCAAATTTCTATTCCTGACTTTTCCATCTGATGTGGAACTCTGGGAATTGTGAATTACATGACTTTGTTTCTGAAATGGAACCAGTGCATTAGAATTCCTCCATTTTAATTTTTTTCCAACCCAACCAAATATTTGAAAGAAATTATGTAAACAGGTTTGAGACTCTCTCTGTCTGCTGATCTGCCTGCCTACCCACCCATCCATTCATCCATCCAGAGGCTAATTCTCTCAGCACTGAATGAAATGGAATCTAATTTAGGGTGGCAGAAGCCAATGAAAGAAAAAAGTGATTTCCTTCACTTGGTAAAGATAGTAAAGTACCACACCTTGAGGAGGATTTTAACCATTTTCCTGGTCTCAGCTGCTACTGTTGCCAGGCTGATGGTGAGATTCACATTATAGTGTCCTTCTTTTCTGCGGCAGTCTTAATTTGGATGCTATTTTATTTTCCAACTGCCTAATAACCACATTTCTCTAGTCTGTACAGTATAGCATATAAAAATGTATGTTAAAATAAAAGATACTGCCTCCCTGGGGTGATTTGTTTCCCTTGGCCTAACATGGGACTAGCCCTGTTCCCACCAGGTCTCCAATTCTTTATACTGGTCAGTGTCCACATTGACATATTCCTGGGGAGGCTTCACAGGGCAAGGCGGAACAATACACACTTCACATGGGGGAGGCTCCAGGTTTCCTTTCCAACATCTCTGACAGTATGGACATCTCAGGTCTTGAGAAGCTACTGTTTGCCAGGAGACAGCAATATCAGACTGGGGGAATCAAAGGCCTATCAGCAGGAGGCCCCTTCATATAGGTGGATCCCTATTTAGCTTTTCAAAAAAAGGAAAAGAAAATTTAGATGTGATTGAATTACACTGCAGCCTCTGCTAGATATTACATCCAGACATTTTGTTGAAAATATTTGAACGCAAATCCACATATACAACTATTAAAAGTTATTTTTAAAAGTAGAATATGAAATGATGGGGGAAACAATGGTCTTTAGAGGTAGATAAGATACCCCCACAAAACTCTGGTCTGGGCAACATCTTGTGGCCACAGGTGACCAGTCCTGTTCAGAATAAAGCATGCATGTGAGCCATTAATTAAACATAAGAATAAGAAAGAAAAATAGGAGCAGAGACAAATTAAATTTGAAAGGAATACTGAAAATATTGTGCTATCCGAGCTGGATTTGTCTAACCTCCCAGAGATGCTTCCCCAAAATTGTTTTTCAAGAAATGATTCTTTGGCATCACTACCAGGTGATTTTGTAAGAGTGCAACAAAGAGAAATAATTCAAACAATCTTTCTGCTGATGGCTCAAGGCTGCTTAGTGGTTGCCATTTATCTCATGCAATTAACACTACCACTAGTTTTGAAATAATTAGTATGAATAATTGGGTATAGTTTTGAATTTTTTTATACATCATAGTTCTTATGTTTGATAAACTGCCCTAATGATACAGCTAATATAAAGGCATTACATATCATTTAATGCATTGTAATAAATTATTCAATAATTGTATTAAATATAAATATTGACTCAGATTCTGAGCTGCCATTTCATCTTTTCAGGTTAGTAGAAAAAAATGTTAAGTTTTCTCTGGTTTGAAGGTCATACATGTTTAGGAGTGCAGATTTGTGAATATGAAATGGTGTCACACATCTTTTAGCACATTCTTACTTTATGTTCGGGCAGCTATTAGCAGTGTCAGAAATAATGTAAAGAATATAAGCAATGTCAGACTTAGAATGTAAAGAATGAGCTCATGATATACAAAACTCATCAGTGTATGAAACAACAGTTAAATTGTCCTTATTTCTTAATGAGATATAGGGATAAATCTTTAGAGTTTAATTTTTTTGTTTTAATCTCTCTTGCTGTGATTTTTTTCTCTTTTTAAAAAATCTTTTTTCAAGGTCATTTACTATCACCTGAAAGAACATGTTTAATTTTTCCCCAGAGATATCACAAATGTTTCTTAATATTCCTGGTATAAACTTTTGCTTGCTCATTTTATTTAACATATGCTCTGTTACAGCTGGCCTAAACCTACTGGGACAGCAAAGTGTTAAGACTCCAAGACTATTGGCAGGATATCCCTCTGTTTTTCTGATCAGCAGTTAAACTGAGGAGCATGGATTTCTATGGGAGTGCAATACTTTTCAGAAATATTAAATTGGCTAAGGAAAGGTTTAAATAGGAAATGTAACTTGCATTCTGTTTCAGAATCTTTACCCCATTAATTTGAAATTCTTAGATTCTTCCACATGGTTTCTCATTCTTTTTCTTGAGGCATTATGAAACTAGCAACATCAGGAGTGCCTTTGACATCCCACTAAAGTTAATGCAAAATTCCCATTTATATTACAGATTAGGATTACATCCTTTATAGCTTGATGCTATGAGCGATCTTGCCACAGCATAAGGCTATCACATAGAAAGTATATGATAAATTGTCCCCTTCAGCTCTAACACTTACTTGAGAAATTATTAATCACCATATTAACATCAGTTGCCTGATGGCATCAGAGTCATGAAACCCTGGCTTCTAGGTCTTGAAAATGTGGACAGCTTAGTTTCCTTGGACAAAGGATTGGATTCAACATTAAGAAAACCACAGAAAAACAGATACAATAATTGGAATATGTTGATGTAGGAGCTTCTAAGATTCATTTGGTCCTCCTTGAATGTACTAAAAATTCTTTCATTGATGTGCTGTACAGGACAGGCCTATCTCAGTGCAATAGAAATCTCAGCCTAGGACTGGGAATTCTAAAAGCCACAGATTCTGCCCACTTCTCTGTCTCATGGGCTTTATCTCCCATTTCTGGAACAGAGGTGTGGACAAGAAAGTTATTAAGATAACCTTTCTTGAGAGTTAAAAAGCAGTTAATTATCTTTGTATCAGTTCAAGAAGAGCAAAATGATGCACATATAGTTCTCACATTTTCTATTCTGATTTAAGTTCCTGCAAGTTTTAGTACATCCATTTTGTCCATTAACCCTCAACTCCTAATTATTATTTTTTTTAAGTATGCATGCAAAATTTGGCCTATCTGTTGGTGCAGGCTCTATGGATTGAAAAAGAGGTATAGTTGTTTTCCAACCTGTACATTTTACATTCTTGGTTTGGGATGCTTTTATCATACTTTTCCGCTATAAAGATCTTTAAGAAAATAGCAAAATCAATAAAACAGTATAACACTATGACAGTAATAAAAAAAAAAATCCTCAATAAAGCACAGTCCAGTCCTGCATACATGTTTTCTGACAGTAAATTCCACTGAACTCAGTGAGACTTCTTAGAATGACCACTTTTAGGGCCCCTTCAGGTGTTTGGGGTGTACATACTGACCCCACCCATCACCCTCTGGGCGTTGGAGGCCTGACATGGAACTGTCCTTACCTGAATGTGAATACAGCTTCCCCCACAACCAGGAAACCTGCTTTATTGGGGCCCAGATCACACAGAATGCTGCATTTACATGCAAGTAAATGTGAGTATAATTCCTTTTCAGAATTTGCAATTGAACATGTGAAGGTCAGGGAGAATGAAGGACATTCTCTACCCACTTTCAGGCCCTCAGATGAACTGTAAAAAATTGAAATGCAAGTCAACTGGAGGGAAAACCAAAATCAGGCAAATATAGCTAAAAGTAATTGCAATTAAGTTTTAATTGCTTAACGGTGTCGTTTTTCTCCAGTATAAATTAGGGGCTAATATTTTGTTATCTGTTGATTTTATATTTAGTGGGGAGCATCATGAGATGATTCCTGCACCATGAAGGACAGGCTTAAGCTATGTTGGGATTCCAGTGACTCTATTCCATTCCCCCTTCCTTCAGTTTTCTGTTGTTGTTGTTTTCCCTGCAATAGTCTATATCTATTGAAGATATTCGGTCCTTATTGAGTTCCTTTGGGGCATCTCTAATTTTCATTTGTTTCCTAAAGATGTTTTGTAACCTTCACATCTCAAGGTTCCCCCAAGTTTGCTCCTACCAGCAGATCTATCCTGCATGTGCTTTGTGGGAATGAGGTCCTCTTTGTTAAGTAATGAGAGCATATGGCATATTGGAACAATTGAATGTATGCTATGATTGTGAGGTTTCTTCCTCAGTAAGGGCCCATGTAGGTTCACCATTTGTTGTCATGCAGCTGAGGATATCAACAGCCAGATAATAATACATTTGATACTGAGGATATACTTTCATGTGTCTCTTTCAGATAATTGGCTGTTTACCACCTGTGGTGCCAGTGGATCACAAGGGCCTACTCAGACCCAGTGCAATGATGCCTATAGGAACTCCAATCTCAGTGTACTGGTAGGAACAGAGGAACATTTTCCTGGTGTACAGATGTGGAGAGTTCCTGCAGCCAATACATACAGGTAAGCTTTATTTTACTTATTTATTGAAACACTGATACCCTATTCTTCAGCCTTAAAAACTCCCAAACTGACTTACAGGATAATATGAGCAAGACAGTTGTTACCCTGAGACTGCAATGATAAAAAAAAAAAGGTGATATGGGGAAAAAAAGGGAGGAAGGAAGACAGAAAGGTTCTAATTCTTCATGTTTTTGTTTCTTGCAACAGTTACTATGTTTAAAATGAATTAGCAGAAAATCTACAGAGCTTGTTCTCTAAAATCTATTTTCCCCAAATACTGCTAAGCCCTGAAATATGAACATAATGAAGAGGCTAAGAAGCTTCCCCATTCCCATCAAAGGGTAGAACTGGCTTTTATCAATTATTTCAGAGACTAAAAAGAAAAAAAATCCTTACTCCTGAAAAAAATACAGTGTGAACTAATGACCCTAGGTTTTATCCTTGGCCAGCTCCATTTAAGAGAGCTAAATTAGCCTGCTCTGCAGATCAGACCATGTCTAAGGTGTGTGTTTTAGCAATTTGCACATTACAGTTTTAGCAGATATGAAAGGACATAAGGAACTCTCACATTCATACTGCAGTATGATTAGAGCAGTGAAGCTTAATAGTTTAAGGTGAGAATTGTGCAGTTACTCATGGAGTTAAATATGAAATATCTAATCTTACAGGAGCAGTAGCATAGTATCCAAGGATACCATAACATCTCTGGCAGCCCCAAGAAATATTTTTGATCCCATTACAATTAAATAAATACTGAAAGCTTATGGTTATCCTGTGCAAGAGTTTATGAGATGACCAAAATCTTGCAAGATCTCACGTGAGAACTCTACAATGTTGCAATATTTGGTTTTTCTCCTGTGACGTCTGTATATTTCTGTAATTTTCTCCTCCTTTGTGGGGGGTGGGGGGAGTTTCAAATTTGCTATCACACAAAGGTTGATGAGTTCTGATTTAGAATTTCTAGATATTCGTTGATTTGAAACTGTCAAAGGGGTGACAACCTGACTCAATCCTAAATGCTACCCAGATTCAAGTGTGAAGTGTACAGTTATTACATTGTTTAGAATAGCACTTCACAGTGCTATGAAGTTCAACCCATTTGTAGGTGAAAAATTGCCAAGTCACATTTGGCTGATTTTTAAAGAAATGAAAGCAATGCATTATTAAAACAACACTGGAAAAATTGAAAAGATTGAGATGTTTGGGGTAGGCATGTGTGGATAACTTTATTTCCAAACTATGCCATTTCCACATGAGTTAATATATTTGATCTCACCTGCAATATTTTTAACCTTTTGTTTTGTTTTTCCAAAATATGCATATTTGTTGTACACACATCCTACAACATATATTTTAAAAATGTATTCTAACTTACAATGTATTTTTCATAGCCATACTGTTATATTTTTGAGTCCTGAACTATATCACCAAATTCTGAATTTTAAAACCAAAGAATACTTCGTACAGAAAATGGATTCTTGCCTAACATATAAAGTCATCAAGGAGTACCAAGGGCTGCAAAGGGATCTGCAGTGGGAGGCAAGGAGGAAGGCAATGTTTTGATGGCACAATTTTGCTTTTGTCATTTTTTAATATAATTTTAATTAAGAAATTTTATTACAATAGAAAAACTAATACAAACTACACTTAGAG